TGGAAAAGAAAAAGTGCTGAATCTATGCACTTAAGTACGGACCAGATGGTGAAACTAATAATATACAATTCGTTTTTTAATAGGTTATGAATTTGGGAGGTAAGGATTGGGAAAAGATGCAAGTAGCATTGGGCCAAGAGAGCTGGGGGCGATGGATACACAATTTTAATTATGAGGTTTTGTATCTATAGCATTCCCTTCAAGTTCCTGTTCCTTTTGTTCTGTTTTACGGTGCTAAATTCTCAGTAACTTCATGCAAAAACTGAGATGGATTAATCATTCTAATTTCTAAGTGATAAAGTGATCATTGAAAATGTAGTTTGGCTTTTGAATCTTTTGGCTCTAAGAAAATAAACAAATAGATTGAGGAAAATCAGAATATCATAGTAAGTAAAATGACAAAATGCTAATTAAAAGACTTAATGCAAGGAAAATTTTAAATAATTTCACATAGTCTTACATTTTGATTTTTACTTTTCATGACCATTGTTTTATAAAATTTCTTGTCTTTGTTATCTTATGATATGTTGGGGTTGGATCTAACCCTATTGAGTGCTTGTCTGATGCAAACTTCTGAAATAAACTTCTGTACTCAACCACAGAATGGAAGGGAGGACTAGAAACTTTTCTAAACAAGTGCTTGTTTTCCCTTTTTTTACAACGATGTGACAACAACAATTGCTTTCACTTGCTTTCTTTCTTCTTTTTTTTTTTTTTTCTGCTTTCTGTTTCCTCGTGCAAATTCTCTGTTACTTTCCACGTATTCACAGAGAACCAAGACAAATTAATCTTAAAGGAAGTCCAGAAAAAGGCTGGTCAAACTAATAATTTTTGAACAAGCGTTTTGCGAGGTGTTTTTAAATTTGGTAGTTGTTTTTGGGCTTTAAATATTTTGAATCTGATGAACTTCTGATAAAGATAAACAAAAGTTATCCATTTGGAAATAGAATCTCAACATTTCTTCGTGGCCCTTTTTTGACCATTTGGTGCTGACATGATCCCTCTTTTTCTAGCATGTGTGATGTCCTGTTTGTTAATCACTATCTTGTTATTCACTATCATTGTCACAATTTTTATCTAATTATTTACTACTCATTATTCTTATCATCTAAATTTTAACTGAATTTAAACTGTTTTATCAAAAAATTACATGTAATGTCCACATTCGGCTAATAGATAAACGAGTCATGCGTGGAAACACTACTTAAAAACTAAAAGATATATTGTACCCAAAAAAAAAGAAAAAAGGAAAAGATATATTCATTAAATTCATGAGTTTTTACCTTTTTAAGCTATTCTTTATTTCTTCTTAATGTATGACATTTTCCCTCACACAACTCCACTCAACTCACAAGGCCACCTCATACTCAACATACCCCAACAATTAAAACTCAAGGAAAGAGAATGGGATGCTCTTTTCTATTAATTTCACGTTCTATGTTAAGCTTGATTCTTAGTTTCATATAAATGTTTTCCCACAAGCCTTATTGTATTTCTGATTTTTTTTTTCGATGAAGAAATATTCTTTTAATTACAAATTTATTTCATTAACATTAAATGTATACATAATTGTAACTAATATTTGGATTCAATCACAATTATGATAAGTTATATTAACAATTCCAATATTCATCACAAATGATGAACACTTTTGCTTATTAATGAATCATCATGTCTTCTAGTTAAGCAAATATGTCCGCATACTAGTTCAGCTTTTCTTTTTGGAGCACAAGCATAATTGTTACAGTTTTGCGTATTTTGCAATTTAAACTATAATAGATTATAAAATATTAGCTATCAAATTGGAATCAACCCTATAATTAAGGGTTGGTCTTATTCGATAATTAGTGTTTGTAGTTTATCATAATTTCAATTGCAAAACAATTTTTTTTCTTTAATACTTGTTAACTGTAAATTTTTCAGAAAGATTTGCTTCATAGAATTGTGGAAGAGGACTCTGCAATGGAAATTTTTTCCTTCCATTTAATTTGCACTAAAGAAAATTAATTCCTTGGTTCCCAACTATTTTACGGTAGTATGTGGAAACATTTTCCCAAATTTGATTAATGATTGAATTGTTTTATTTAGGGAACACGAAATTGCTATTTGAAATTTTGAAGGACTTTAAACTTTTGAAGGACAAACGGGCTGTACGGTGCGTTCATTTTCAACACTGGATGTACTGCATCAACAAAGTAGAAAAATCTAAGTTTAAAAAAAAAAAAAAATGAAAAGAAAAGAAAAAGAGGCTCCCTATGAACCTCCTCATGAAGGAGCAATGAAACTACTTTCCTCTTTGCCTTTTTTCCAATTTTTAGGAGAGTGACCATTTAGTTATCAAGCCTGAACTTTCAATCAGTAACTGTCCCATACTCCCTTGTAGGAGCCAGCCTTGACTTAAGTGGCAGTTCACCGGAGAAAAATAAAATAAAATGACTAAAGTGCCCCAGCCCCCAAGTCAATGATAGTTGAATGACCCAATCTATACTCCAAGCTTCATAAATGGTAACCTCTCATTTGGAAGTCATCACTACTCTGCAAGTTGCAAAACAATGGGTAGCAGCAGCAGAGGCGGCAGAGTACTCATTCTTCTCTATCTGTCATGTTTACTTATCCCTTCATATTCGGCCACTGACACTTTAGATCGAGGCAAACAACTCAGATTTGGAGAGTTGCTGGAATCATCAAACAATCTCTTCAAGTTAGGATTCTTCCAATTTGATCGGTACTATTATTCTTTCTTGGGAATATGGTATAACGATACAACATGGTATCGAGATGGAGACGACAATATTGTAGTCCAGTACCCAGTGTGGATTGCAAACCGAAACGCCCCAATCTTCGATAAATCCACAAGTCTCTCAGTTGAAGGCAATGGAAGTCTTCAGATTTTATCCAGTGAGAGTGAAGTCATCGCTTTGTATTCATCAACAAGAGCTTCAATTCATGCTTGTGCCACCCTACAGAACGACGGTAACTTTCTACTGCACGAGCTGAATTCAGATGGATCTGTGAAGAGGGTTTTGTGGCAGAGTTTTGATCATCCAACAGACACTCTTCTTCCTGGGATGAAACTAGGAATCAACTGGAAAACTGGGTTGACTTGGAATTTGACATCGAGGGAAGTTAATGACGTCTTTGCTTCTCCTTCCTTCAACTCTTTTACTCTAGGCATGAATCCCAACGGTACAAAAGAACTGATCATGTGGCGACTGGGGGAGGTATATTGGAGAAGCGGACTTTGGCAACAGAGCATCTCTGATTTTCCATCCGTATACTTTCCAATTCCACAACCCTACAGCTTTAATTTTACTCAAAATGAGAATGAGACGTACTTCTATTACACTGCAAACCAAACGAGCCAAACAAAAATTTCTTTCCCTAGAATAAGAATTGCATCAACAGACGTGGATCCGTTGAATGATTCAGATTGGTCTATTTCAGGTGGTGTGCTCATGATCTACAGTGCAAATACCTGGACCAATGTAGTTTCATGTAATTATACATTACCCTTCGTTATTACTTCCGGATGCATAAACAGAATGCTTCCTGAGTGCACGCGTACTATTGATGATTATGGAAACATCATTGCAAAGCGGGGCTCAATGTCGAATGCTGGATTCATAATCAGTGAGAGTCACGACATGACTATCGACGATTGTAAAGCTAAATGCTTGTTAAACTGTTCTTGTTTTGCTTATGCTGCCACAAATTCTGAGGATCAAACTGGCTGTGAAATTTGGACATCAAGGGCGATCTTTATTACAACAAAACATGGCCGCAATATCTACATCCTTCCTTCCAAAGGTATGTTTACTTCATTTTAGAGGCTAAATCTCAGCCTGCTAATCAATTCACCCTTCATCTATTGCATTAAGATGGTTATGCTAGTAAAGTTGTTTGTCAATTAATTTCAGGAAACAAATGGTGGCTGTGGCTAACCTTGTCAGTTGGAGGAATAATGATTATACCCACCCTGTGCTCTGTCTGCTATATCATATGGAGACAATTCACATCGCATGGTTGGTCTCTCACTCTACAATACATTTGTTTATTGTGTTTATCATTTTAAAACTCTTGAATCCTTGCAATTTTATTAGGTGATGAAAACATTAACCAGAGGACATTAATAAAAGAACTGGAAGGCGACAGTGGGGTGCATTCCTTCTTATTTGGAAAACCAAAAAGTTGTAAGAAATATAGAAATGAGCTCCATGTCTTCAGTTTTGAAAGCATTGTCTCTGCTACAAATTATTTTTCTGCTGCAAATAAGCTTGGAGAAGGCGGCTTTGGACCAGTTTACAAGGTAATGGTAATTTATACTGTCAGACAAATATATGGATTATATTAGGTAATAGCTAAATATGAAATTTTTCAGGGAATGCTGCTTGATGGTCGAGAAGTGGCAATAAAACGACTCTCAAGAAGTTCAGGACAAGGAATGGTTGAGTTCAAGAACGAAGCGTTACTAATTGCAAAGCTGCAGCACACTAACCTTGTGAGGCTTCTAGGCTTTTGCATTCAAGGAGAAGAAAAGATATTAATCTACCAATATATGCGAAACAAAAGCTTGGACTCCGTTCTTTTTGGTAATTAACATTCTCCTAACTAACAAGTTTTTTGCCTTTCATCTATCTCTAGTTGATAAAATTCAAGTTAAAACTTGGTAATTAGATCCTGTGAAGAAGAAAATGTTGAATTGGAAGAGACGCTTTGTCATTATTGAAGGAGTTGCTCAAGGGCTTCTTTATCTTCACAAATATTCTAGATTGAGAGTGATTCATAGAGACTTAAAGGCCAGCAACATTTTGCTTGATGACGAGATGAATCCAAAAATATCAGATTTTGGGTTGGCTAGAATATTTGAACAGAATGAATATGAAGCAAACACAAATAGAGTTGTTGGAACATAGTAAGTAGTTCCACATTTGTTTGCCCTCTTCCTGTATTTGTAAACTGCATTTGTTTGCCTACCGAAGGTTGTAAAAGGGTATTTTGATTATTTTTGCAGTGGTTATATGTCTCCAGAATATGCTTTCCATGGCCTTGTTTCAATCAAAACTGATGTATTTAGCTTTGGAGTTTTGTTGCTAGAGGTTGTAAGTGGCAGGAAGAGTACTGGTCGCTATCATCCTGAGCATCCTCTCAATCTTTCAGGATATGTGAGTATTTTTTCCTCTTCATACTTCTCCTCTCTTCATTTTGAATGAATATATATCATGAGAATAGTATAGTACTGGTCATCCTTTCAAAAAATTTTTTTATAGAAATTATCTGAAGACTCAAATTCTAATTAATATTTTCACAAACCAATTTTGGATTAGAAGTTCTATTTATATAAATCATACATATCAGTTTTTATATTAATTTAACACTTATAATTCTTTGATCAAAGAAATTCTATTTACTGATATATATTTGAAGGTATTAAATTTTGTATAATTAAAAAACTGATTAGGCCTACTAGATCAATATGAAAATTGACATACATAATTTATATAAATAGAATTTTCAATCCAACGATTAGTTTTTAAAAATATTAATTAAAAATAAATTCTTAGACATATCATTTAAAAAAAATTTAGAAGATGACCTTTACAACGCTTTTCTCATATATTATTACAACTTAAGATTTGTATGAGAAATACAACTTTGGTTTTCACTAGGTATGGCAGCTCTGGAATGAAGACAGAGCTTTAGAGTTGATAGATCCTAGTATGGATGAATTTTGCCCTCATGATCAAATATTAAGATGCATTCATATTGGCCTCCTGTGTGTGCAAGATCATGCCATTGATAGACCCACCATGTCTGATATTGTTTCAATGCTTTCAAATGAAACAATGCCGCTGCCAAAACCAAAACAACCAGCATTTTTCACTGACACCAGATTTGAGGAAAACACTGGTGTTCCTGAAATTAAGTCGGAGAACTGTTCCATAAATCATGTGACAATTTCTGATATGGAAGCTAGATGATTGTTGTCTGGGGTTACGGAGGTGCTATTATTAGAGTTGTTTATGTAAGGATTTTATAGTTCGATTCCATTCAGGGTGCTATTATGTTTGTTTCTACACTAATGTCTTTATAGTCTATCAACTGTATACTGAATAGTGAAATTATTCATATTTACCTCAGGAAAGCATAAGCAGATCCAACATAATGAATCTATCTAAAAGAAATGGGTTAATTTTTGGACTTTCTACATTCTACTGAAGTCTGCTTCCGCTTACAAATGTTATATGCTTTGGTGAATGACATTTCTTAGAAAATGTTCAGTGCAGTAAAATGCAAGAACGGTCAAATTGTTTAAGAAACCATGCATGAGGCAAAAAGAAATAGAGAATGGCACAAAAACAAATTTTATTGAGTTTCACACAACAACATTTGACTTAAAGCTCTGTAGCAAAGTCAGGCATTGAACTAGACCACACGATAACCCAAACGATGTCTTATAACATCAAACTAAAACATAAGATGTCACCATGATAGAATTTGTAACCTGAACACACGATTCTAGCCACAACAGGAGTTCAAAGGCTCATTTCTTCCCACTCTTCTTCAGACCAGCCCCTCCAAACGAACCCTTTTTTGATGCTTTTGCCCTTAGCTAAGTGCCTGCTCACCATGTCATATACAATGGATTGATTATTTGTTCTATATCCACGGATAGGAGGGAGACAGTTTTAAGTTCAACAAAATATGCAGTATTAACTGCCACCATCTTACCTTTTCCTCTTCCTTCTTTTTCTGCAAATTAGCTAAATCACGCTGCAGAAGGACAATTAAGTCAAGGTTATAAAGATATCAATTATTAACATATAATACTTCAATCACCAAGACCAGCACTACTGAAGGATAAAGCAATTCCAAACGAAAAGCAGTTAACAAGAAACAGCAATTTATTAATTGAAGGAGAAGGTAAAAATTAAAAGATCCATGAAAACATTGAAAAGACAAAGCAGAACAAATTATAACCACAAAATTTATCGAATTAGTACCAAAGATCAAATACCCACAATTCTTTGAAAGTCATGTAGCAGGGCATCCATGGAGAATCATGAATACAGGCAATTAAACAGCAGAGACACTTGATTCAAAATACCAAATTACCAGGTTTATCATAAAAATTACTAATCTTAAAGCAAGCAAACAAAATTGTTAAAAATAGCAGATCAATAGAATAAACTAGAAATCAAACCTAAAAAGAGAAAACGAGATATTTGTTTGAATAAACCAAGCCAAATTTAGAAGTTAGCCATAAAATAAATTGATACAAAAAATACAATTTGATGACAATACCTCGTCGTATTCTTTCTTATCAGATTTGGGTTGCTTCAAAGGCTTCAATTTGCCACCTGAAAATAACACCCAAATAAAATCATTGTCTCGAGATAGGTAACAGAAGATTAACTTGATTTAGAAACTTGAAAAATTAAATTAAATCAGATCAAACAAATCGATGGTCTTTATGAAGGCATGTAGGGAGAAGGCTTACCCTGCTTGGACGACATGGTCGGAATCTTGGGTTAGAGGTTTGGCTCGGAAAGAGGAAGAAAGCTGGGAGAGAAACTGTCAGCAGCTCGCACTTCAACTCGCAATTGTTGATTGTCTCGTGGTTGAATGGCAATTACTCTAGTGGTGAGTCACATGTGAAAATAATAATATGGAGAATATTGCACACGCTTGGCGCGTGACTAATTATTAAAAATATTTTTAGCAAATTAAAAAATAGAATTGGGAAAAATCAATACATAAAAAAATACTCATTAAAAATATTTACATAATTTTATAAAAATTTTAACATTTAAAATATTAAAATATCTTAATTTTCACTTTTTTTTTTAATATTCAATTCAAAAATATATAAACATTTTTAATGAATTAATTAAGGGCATTGAAATCCATTTTTCAGCTTTATACAACTCTTGCACACAATAAGAAAAAATCCTAACCTCGCGGCAACCTCTTCCTTTTCTCTTCCTTTTGAATCTCCTCCTTTCCAGTGATTAGTGAAGCCTCTATTCTTTTCTTTCTATGTTAATACTTTCTCTTATGTTTAAATGATTAAATCTTTTTCATTAACCAAAAAAAAAAAACCTAAAAGTTATTCACTAAAAAAAAATCAAAACCTGAAAGAAAAAAAGCTTTGCAGCTAGTGCATTGTGACAATGGATAGCGGAGCTGCAGGGCTATGATGGTTTTTTGGGCAACAGTGCAAGAACTTCATCAAACTTTTGGTTTGAAGGAAGAGAGCATACGGATGAAAATTTTACTATTTAATTAGCAAAAAATTTAAAAGAGAAAGAGGACTTTTCTAAATGAGTGGAGGGAAGGGATATAGAATGGAAAGAAATTAAAGGGATGCCGTATCCTTAATTCCTTATATTTCATTATTCTCTTTTTTTTTTTTAACTAAACATATCGTTAGTTCCTTGTACTTTACAATACTTTCTCAATCCATTTCACAGTAAAGTTGGCCGGTAAACAAACATACCTTAGAGTTTTATAAATGTAGCTAAAGTTATTCATTTATAAAAGAATTCATGAAAAGTTGTCATGATGTTAACATAACATGCAATTGCCCAGGGAAAGTTTTATTCTGTGTTTGGCTACGTGGAATAGATTGAAAATGAAAAACTATTAGTTTGGTTAATAAAGGGTTTCAGGTCCATGCTGATATGTATAGGAACTTTGCCCAGCTAAGAAATAAAAAGAGAAAGGCATTTTCCCCCGTTCCTTAGGGCTTGTTTGGTTGGGTTTTGATTTTATTGAGAAAGTTTTTTCTTAAAAGTGATTTTTTTTTTTATTTAGTGGTTAGGGTATTTTCAGATTGGTTTACTAATATTTTGATACTCATCCCTCTTAGTTTGGTCAAAATAAGTTATTCATGTTGAAACTAAAAAGTTTATAGAAAAGTACTTTTTCATTAATCTTCTTAATTAAAGAATTGAACCTCTTTAAACCACAATTCCTTTGGTGAAAGTTAGTAAAATTTGTAATGAAACTTTGTTAATATTTTGTTAGATTTGTTAACTTTTTTATGTTTGGGAAAAATTTTATATTGTAAAGTTGAAGAAAAAGATATCAAGTGAGTCTTAATTTAGAAAAGGTAAGGAGAAAGTTTTTCTATCTAAAAATATGAAAAAAATTTTACTTATTAGTAATTGTGTAAAAGAAAATAAAGACTAAAAAATTAAAAATATCAATTTTACCTTTTATTTATTATAATATTAAAATATAAAAATATAACTCTCTCCGTTTATTTTTAATAGATAGAATTTAATTTTTTGACTTTTAAGATCTAAATTTAGGGTAAAAATTTAATAATTTATATAAAGAATAATTAAAATTTTTTTGTCCTTATATATAGTTGTTGTTAAGTATTTTTATTTGATAAATTTTTTTTTTCAATTATTGTTTTTATAAATTATTAAAAATTT